GACTGGGGTCAGTCGGAGCGGGACTGGGGTCAGTCGGAGCGGGACTGAGGACCATCAGAGTGGTGGTGGTGGGAGTGGAGCTGAATCCAGGGGTGGAGCTCCAGATGCGACATCATGACTCTAGCATGACGTAGGCTTGGCTGCTCAGGAATCAGGTCTACAGAGTGATTGAGTAGTGTCAGGAGGGAGGCAGAGTATAAAGTGCTTGCCTTTATCATTCTAATTTCTTAGGAATAGAGAGCGAGAGGGAGAAACCTGATTTTGGTGAGTAGTGGGTGAGGTTGTGTGATTGGTTCCTAGTTTATTGTCTGAAGTTGATCAGGTTCAAAGTGACAAGATAGCTGAGCCCCATGGAATGCTCCTCCTGCTCTTCTCCTGCGAGGGAAGTTTTTTTTTTACACCTAAGATAGTGGATCCAGAGGAAGTAGGTGAGGTCCTTAATGAGTACTTTGCATCGGTATTTACCAAGGAGAAGGGCATGGGTGCTGGTAGGTTTAGAGAGGGGTTTGTTGATACTCTAAGGCATGTTGATATTAAGAAGGAGGGGCTGTTGGGAGTCGAGAAAAACATTAAGGTAGATAAGTCCCCAGAGCTGATGGGAGCTATCCCAAGATAGAAAAGGATGCAAGGGAGGAGATTGCTGGGATTTTGACAGAGATCTTTGTATGCTCTTTAGCCACAGGCGTGGTCCCAGAAGACAAGAGAGTAGCCAATGTTGTTCATTTGTTCAAGGGCAACAAGGATAATTCAGGAAATTAGAGGCCGATGAGCTGTACATCAATGGGAGTGAAATTATTAGAGAAGATTCTGAGGGACAGGATTTATTTGCATTTAGAGCAGAATTTACTTATTAGGAATAGTCAGGGGAGGTCTTGTCTTACAAACTTGATTGAGGTTTTTGAGGAAGTGACGAAGAGGACTGAAGAGGGTAAGGCAGTGGATGTTATCTACATGGATTTTACTAAAGCATTCGACAAGATCCCTCATGATAGGCTCGTCCAGAAAATCAAATTGTATGGAATCTATGGTGAGTTGTTAAGTTGGATACACATTTGGCTTTACCATATAAGATGGAGCGTAGTCATGTCAGTGACCAGTGGTGTTCCACAAGGATCAGTGCTGGGACCTTTCTTCTTTGTAATATATAAAAAATGATGTGGATGAAAATGGTGGTGGTTTCATTAGTAAGTTTGCAAACTACACGAAAATTGGTGGAGTTGTGGGTAGTGAGGAAAGATATCAAAGGATGCAACAGGATGTAGATTAGCTGGAAAATTGCGTAGAGGAATGACAGATGGAGTTTAATCTGGACAAGCGTGAGGTGATGGATTTTGGGAGGTCAAATGCAAGATGAAAATATACAGTAAATGGCACACTCCTTAGGAGCATTGATATACAGAGGGATCTTGGTATCTCAGTCCCTAAAAGTGCCAGCACACAAGTGGGTAAGCTGGTAAAGAAGGTGTATGACATACTTGCCTTCATTGGTCAGGGCATTGAGTAAAAATGTTGGCAAGTCATGTTACAGCTGTATAAGACTTTAGTTTGGACACATTTGGAGTGTTGTGTGTGGATCTGGTCGCCACACAATATAAGGCTTTGGAGAGGGGGCAGAAGAGGTTTACCAGGTGTTGCCTGGATTAGAGTGTATTAGCAGTAAGGAGAAGTTGGAAAAACTTGTATTATTTTCAGTACAGTGTAGGAGGCTGAGGGGGCGACTTGATAAAAGTACATAAAATCATGAGAGGCTTGGATATGGTGGATAGTTGGAGTCTCTTTTCCAGGGTGGAAATGTCAAATACTAGGGACATAGATTTAAGGCGAGAGGGGGAATGTTTAAAGCAGATGTGCGAGGGAAGTTTTTTTTACACCTAAGGTAGTAGAAGCCAGGAATGTGCTGCCAGGGAAGGGTACAGAAGCAGAGTTGAAAGCAAAGTTTAATAGGCATTCACACAGATGCATGAATAGGCAGAGAATAAAGGGACATGGACCATGGGCAGGCAGGTGGGATTAGTTTAGAATGGCATCGTGGTCTGCACAGACATAGGGGCCAGAGGGTCTGTTCCTGGGCTGTACTGCTCTGTGTTCTTAACACCAAACATCAAGGCTGCTCATTTTCAATTTACAACTAACCGTAGCAGATGCCCACAAACATCAAGTCTAGAGAGGGCAGAATGGTGTTGATTTGCTGTCTCTCTCGTTGCATCTTTACTTACATCAATCAAGAAAGTTTTAACACTGCACAACAATAACAGTGTCTCATATTTACAAAGCACTGTTTACATTCTGAATTCAGCCAAAACAGTAATCAAAATTTTAAAAATGACACCACGTCATATGTGTTGGTATTCGGTCAACTAAATAGGGGGTAGGTCAAAGAGGTAGGTTTTAAGGAGTGACTTCAATGAAGAGTGAGAGTTGGAGAGACAGAGACAGGACATTGCACAGTTCGGTGCCAAGGCAGCTGAAGGCATGGCCACCAATGATGGTTTAATTCAAATTGAGAATGCACAAGAAGTAGGCTAGGTGCTCTTCAGAAAGCTGATAACTGACAGGGGACCTGATGGAGTTCTTCAAAATTACAACTGAGTTTGATAGAGTGGATGCGGGGAAAGAGGTCTCTACTTGTGGTGGAGACCAAAACCAGGAGCACAGTAAGATCATCACCAATAATTCTGATAGGGAATTCAGGTGAACCATCATTAACCAGAGAGGGGTGAGAATGTGAAACATGTCATCACAGTGAATAGTGGAAATGAATGGTATGGATACATTTAAAGTGTTAATAAGGAGTCTAGATTTTCTGATCTGTGCAGATTTAAAGCAGCAACCAGGAAAGCAAACAGTCCTGGATCTCAGCCAAGTTCCTTTATCAGCCTTTAGCGCCTGTCCTGAAACAAGCAGGGGATCTGTATTTCCACGCAGTAGCAATGTCACAATGATTTCACTCATCTCATCTGTCAGCACTACCTATCTGACCTTGATCACTCCATCTCTCCCTGCCTTTAAATCATAAGGGGTATAGATAAGGTGAATGGCAAGTATCTTTTTCCTGTGGTGGGGGATTTCAAGACTAGAGGGCACATGTTTAAGGTGAGCGGAGAAAGATTTAAAAAGGACACGAGAGACAACCTTTTTACACAGTGTGGTTCATGTGTGGAATGAACTGCCTGAGGAATGTGTGGTGGATGCTGGTACAGCTACAACGTTTAAAAGACATTTAGATAAATTAATGAAAAAGAAAAGTTTGGAAGGATATGTGCCAAGCATAGGCAGTGGGACTAGTTTAATTTGGGATTGTGGTCAGCATGAACTGGTTGGACCAAAGGATCCGTTCTGTGCTGTATGACTCTATGACTACATTTAACAAGCAGACGGGCAGAAAGGTAAAGAAGAAAGTTGGTTTGCAGAGCCCTGCATAGTTCTGAATCCACTCATGTGAAACTTCCATGGCTTTTCTTCCCCCTCCGAATCATTAACTCTTATGTTCCCCAAGGATCAACCCTTGGCTCTTTCTCAATACTCATTTAGATTCTGCCCCCTAACAGCATCATCCAAACGTGTAGCACTAGCTTTCGCATGTAATGCTGACAATATCCAGTTCTATCTCACCACCAATCTCTCTCGATTTCCCCCATAGCTACTGAATTATCAGACTGCGTGTCTGACAACCAGTACTGGATGAGCAAAAATTTGTGCCAATTAAACATTGTCTTCAGCAACAATTTCTTATGTCCAGTTCACCCACCATATTCACTATGCCCCAGCCAGAGTGTTCACAACCTTGAGCTCATGTTTAATCCTGGATTGAGCTTCTGAGCCCTAGCCTCTCATCTCAAAGATGGAAAAATTCCAGCTCTGAAACATCACCCAACTTGGCTCACCTGCTGCTGAAGCCCTCACCTATGCTCTTGTGAACAGGAGATATGGCAATCCAATACATCTCTTGGACTACCTCCCTTGTTCTATCCCCGAGCATTAAAACTCATCCAAACCTCTACTGTCCATGTCCCAACTCCCATCCAGTTGCATTCATCCATCTTCACCGTGCTCACCGACATTGCATTGGCTTCTAACCTGGAAGAAATGAGCTTCCACAGGAATAAAAGGCCCCACCTTGAGTCAAAGATCAGAACGAAGAGGGATTGATCCAGCTAAATTAAGTAAGGTGACCCACTGATCTATTCGTTCATTGATGTGATCACATGAAGACATGTCAATTGAAATGAATGAATATTCATGCAGCCATGTAAAAGACAATGTCAAGTTCAGATCACCTGGGCTATGACTGGGGAAGGCGGTGGTGGTTAAGGCATTTTACAGAAAAAAAAATGTGAATTTATTCCTCTCACAGTAGGATGCTCAATTCCTAAAGGAGTTGCTGAAACTGATAACAAAGTTACAGCAGGACTGAATTAGAAACTGCATATTTCTGTTGATTGAATCTAAGCCGCGACACAGGTATTTTCATGCAAATTATTTCTGAACTTGCACATGCAACTGGTTGTCAGTAGCTGTGGGAGGGAGCACACTGATGGGTGGTTTGAAGAGGAGGAAGGTTGAGTGTTTAATATGTGATTGGTTGGAAGGGGAGGCCATTGAGTTCCATTCTCCTGGTCTCCTTCCCAACAAAGATAATTTTTAAAAATTTCACCCAGAGGATGAGGGTGTCACTGGCTGAGCCAGCATTTAGTGGTAATTCCTAGTCGCCCCTGAGAAGGTGGTAGTGAGCTGTTGTCTTGATCCATTGCCATCGATCTGGTGTAGGTACCTCCACAATGCCATTTAGGGAAGAAATTCCAAGAGTTTGACTCAGTGACACCTAAGGAATGGTGATGCATTTTCAAGTGTGGATGGGGAATGGCTTGCCGTTTCATGGTCAGTCTGAGGGAGATATCACATGAATGAGACAGAGAACAAGTGAGCACCTTTGGGAATTTAGTTCAAAGTGAGAAGTTGGAGCGGGAGGAAAAAGAAACGCTTTGAATAAGGTTTGCTGCAGGAAGTAAAGTGTGCTGTGCCGGGAGTTCAATTAAAGGTGGGGAGGAGGTGCTTTCTCCTTCTACTCTTTTCACAAAGTTCATTGGTTGGTAAGAAACTTTTATTAGGGACTGTCTTTAAATTGCTGTAAATTAAGAAAGTGTATTCAGTTAAAGAAGTAGCGATACTTGGATTTAACTAAGAACCACCAGGAATAAGGCAGAGTCAGGGCCAATATAATAAAGTAATATCAGCAATCCACAGCAGAATAAAGTTAATGTAAGAGAAATAAATTTAACTCATGGCAGCACGGCTCATTCAAGTGGAATGTGTGCCTGTAAAATATGAGAAGTCATGGTACCAGTGTCCTAGATGACTCCAGAGACTTGTTTAATTCGATGTTAGCTTTTGCTTTCCTCAAGGTCCAAAATATTATCGGAAATGTCCCAATACAAGACATCCTTGCCATCTCTTACACCATCAGAGTCTTTGATTTTGAGACTCTGATCTTTGTCGCAAGAGCTAAGCTATGTAAGAGAATCGAGAGTAGGCCATTCAGCCCTTCAAACCTACTTTTGCATTCAAGAAGGTAATGATCTTCCAGCTCAACGCCAGGTTCCCACAGTATACCCAGATCCCATAATCTCCTTCATATCCAAAAATCTATCGATTGCATTCCTGAACATCTACAATTGCTAAGCATTCACAATTTCCTGCAGTAGAGATTGCCAAAGATTCACCACCGTTTACATGAAAACCTTTTGCCTTCACTTCAGTCCTAAATGGCCCAGCCCTTACTAAAGCTGATTCCACCTCCTAAACCAATGCTTCCCAAGCATTCCTCCCTCCCCCAACTCAACTGTGATCCCATTTTAATGCTTAGAAATTGCTATAACCCCTCAGTGAGAATTAGGAGGTCAATGAGGAGACTGCAACCCAAAATTTCCAAACTTTGCACTTTTGCGAAAGCCCACTTGAGCTCCTGACCTCCATTTTGGAAATCCCTCCTCTAAACTTTCTAGCCAGGCGGTAAAACCTCTCAGTATTTATTATGTCAAAGCTCGCTCATATGTTTCAGTGAGACAACCTCTCTTCCCACTGAACTCCATTGAAAAAAAGTGAATGATTTAGATGGGTTGCCTCATCCGTGTACAACTCCTGCTGGATTTAACTAGCAACCCAAGCATATTCTTAACCTCCAGAACTCCCAAAACCCCTGCCCAGATGGTTCATGCTTCGTCATTTTTGCTGGTGTCTCAGCACTAAACTTCACTGTTCACAGTCCATTTGCAACATCGTCACCATCAGTTCATACAAGGGAGTTCAGGTTTCTGCCGACGGGGTAAGGGAGAGTTGTCAAGGGGGAGCGCAGCAGTCGGATGGTGGTATTGCTGTGAAAGGTGAAGTTTACACAGTAACAGAAGGAGACAGCAACTGGCTACAGAAACTGCCCCAACCATTCATGTTATGTTTTACGGCTGTTTTGTGACCTAGCCGACCAGGGGAATCTATCCTATAATCTTCACTCGTACAGTCTGCTGAGGGGAAAGGTTGGAGAGACAGGAAGTATGTAAACACCTTCCAGGTTGCATCTGTAATTTCTTCTGAGTAATAAGAAAATAATAAATAGGTACAGGACTAGGCCATTGGATCCTTCAGGCTTGCTCTGCCATTCAATATGATCATGGTTGATGCAATGTTCCCTTAACTGCACTTTCCTGCCTATCACCCATAACTCTGGAAGCTCTATCGATCAAAAGTCTGTCTAACTTGACCTTGAATATATTCTGCCTCCACTGCTCTGGGCAGGCAATAGAGTTGGTGAAAATAAATTCCAAGCACGACCTGTTCAGTAATGAATTAATTCTCCAGTATGTAAAATAGTAAGCTACGTCACTTGTGATGAGACAGATTACACAGTGGATTTATCCCGAAGAAAGCTGCTCATGAGTGTAAATAGATCATAAACTGTTGAACTCGAAAAGACCATAGACTCCAGCAAATAAAAGCAAAATACTGCAGGTGCAGGAAATCTGAAATAAAAACAGAAAAATGCTGGAGAAATTCAGCAGGTCTGGCAGCATCTGTGGAGAGAGAAAGAGTTAACGTTTCGAGTCCAATATGACACTACATCTTCCAAACTGAATCGTTAAACTCAGCTTCTCTCTTCACAGATGCTGCCAAATCTGCTGAGTTTCTCCAGCGATTTCTGTTTTTTCTTAAAAACTTCGAGATACCAGCAATATCTCTTTAAAGATGCAGTGAACCTAATCTCTTCCAACACTACAACCACAGTAACAGGCTGATGAACCTCTTTCAGAAGAAATTCCTCTCAAACTCCATCTTAACTCGAATGCTGGGAGTTACAATAAGCAGTAATGGATTCTAGAGAGGACAGTCAATCTTAGGATTGTTCCACTCAGAACTGAGCAGTTATTCATGATGAAAACTGTCAGCAAAAGGCTAGGATGCACTGGCACCTCACAGCTCTATCGTCTGTTGCCACTCACTGTCTGGGAACCTGACAGAAGAGTTGCCAGGTATGGGAGTAATATTAGAGGGGAATCCAGTCCCTTGTACCATCATCCAGCAAATCAAAACACAGCATATTAAGGAAAGGAGGACACCACAAACACAATTTAAAGAAAACGGGGTAATGCTGATAAGTTCCTTTAAACGTCCAATAAGTGGGAGGGATTCAATTTTTAGAAGTACTTGATATTTAAAGTAAAACACTGATTTATTCACATCATATTCATCTTTAAAAAGAGAAAAGGCTTTAATAATGGGGGGGGAGGAAGGGTCACAGATGTATTTGTAATTTGAAGCAAAAAGATACAATTTTTTCAACAACCAAATGTGTTTAGACATTTATAAAACTACATTACATATAAATGAAAGGCAGCAATATATCAAGTGGTTAAAGTACATTATACAGAAGAGCTGCAAAAGGTATGAGAGTGGTGCAGCTGGTCAGAATAACAAATAGGTTCTGCATTGTGACATTTTAATATCAAAACACACATTTTTCATATACTGTGTTATACACATACCTCTTTTTTAAAATGTATTTATTTAATACGTAAATAGCTTAAAAAGTTGAAATGTTTTTTTTAAAAATCTTTTAAAAGGAAAACATGTCCCAACTTCAGAAGTTTCAGAGCATAACACCAAGTGAGTCACCTGTCCAATGCACCACTCCTGTTGCTTTGAAAACACATTGTAGGTTTAATTCTACCTGGCACCAGCACCTTGGTCTCTGGGTGCTCATGCTCTGTGGTGAATGCCTCTTTTTTTTCAATGAATACTTTGCAATCGGTTAAAAATAAAATCCTCAGTAGAAGGCCGCTCTTGGGAAATATCTTCCTTCATTATAAGGCTCACAAACGCACAGAGCAGGAACTACGGTGCGGAGTGTGCTTTCAAACTCTGATCTCCTCAAAGAGAAATTGGCTCGATTATACCAGCAATATCAACGCAATAAAAAGCACACTACATTTTTATACAAAAATATAAAGAAGTTAATATTTTGTACACAGCAATAGAAAAATCGATCACCAAAGATCTGCAGGAGGTGGCGATGTGATGGTACTCGAGATATGAAAGCACTGGTTTACAATGCGCGTTAGGCATACACTTGTCTGTCTCAGGACTTCAGCACTTTACACCAAACACTGTCAAAGGATTGTGCACCACTGGGATCAGCCTTCTTTGATTCAAATAATTCACAAGAAGTTGCTAGCCCAATGCTCTCGGCAAACAAAGGAGACATGCTCGGTGTTCCACTTCCTCAATTCCAAAGCTTCTCCCTGTCGAATGGATCATAAACGTTATTATGAAGTTTTGAGGTGTCGGAGGAGTGATGTGTGTGAAATAAAAAAAGATTTTGCAATTCACAAAATAAGGACAACATTGGTGAGAAAGACTTGAAATATATATGAAATCTTATTGCATCTCTCAATAACATGGCTAAAGTACTTCCAAATTGTTCTTATCTAATTTTCCAGACAAAGAGATAATGCCACCAAATAAGATGAACTCAACAGTTATTCTTCCTGCATCACCATCCAGCAACAGCCTATAGGAGAAATGTTTGCCAAAGGTCCATATTCCATCTTGAATAATATCACAAATTTAATGAAGTAGTTAACATTAAACTGAAGCTTCAATGCTGCAGCTGCCAGCAATAAGCAGGGTTTCTGCAAGGGATTGAATGAAAGAGAAGCTCAATCAAAAACCAGCTGAAACAGACTTGGCCTTTTGCGATGGGAGCTAGCAGCTCAGTTTACCCAAGGACTGAGTGTGTGCACTATTGGGTAAGAATTTTTATTTTGTTTTGGACAAACCTATTTTAGTTTACAGTATTAAACTGAAAGATATAGTTTAACTGCCAGCCTTAAGCAGGGGTGTCACAAGGGTTCCAGCAAAAAAAAAGCTTAATTAAGAGATAACAAGGTGTAGAGCTGGATGAACACAGCAGGGCAAGCAGCATCAGAGGAGCAGGAAAGCTGACATTTTGGGCCTAGACCCTTCTTCAGAAATGGGGGAGGGGTAGGGTGTTCTGAAATAAATAGGGAGAGAGGGGGAGACAGATAGAAGATGGATAGAGGAGAAGATAGGTGGAGAGGAGACAGACAAGTCAAAGAGGTGGGGATGGAGCCAGTAAAGGTGAGTGTAGGTAGGGAGTTAGAGAGGGGACAGGTCAGTCCAGGGAGGACGGACAGGTCAAGGAGATGGGGACGAGCTGGGCTGGTTTTGGGAAAGGTCGGAGGTGGAGAGATTTTGAAGCTTGTGAAGTCCACATTGATACCATTGGGCTGCAGGGTTCCCAAGTGAAATATGAGGTGCTGTTCCTGCAGCCTTCGGGTGGCATCGTTGTGGCACTGGAGGAGGCCCAGGATGGACATGTCGTCCAAGGAGTGGGAGGGGGAGTTGAAATGGTTCGTGACTAGGAGGTGCAGTCGTTTGTTACGAACCAAGCATAGGTGTTCCACAACGCAGTCTCCAAGCCTCCGCTTGGTTTCCCCGATGTACAGGAGGAGGCTACATCAGGAACAGCGGATACAATATACCACATTAGCTGATGTGCAGGTGAACATCTGCTTGATGTGGAAAGTCTTCTTGGGGCCTGGGATGGGGGTGAGGGGGGAGGTGTAGGGGCAGGTGTAGTACTTCCTGTGTTTGCAGGAAAAGTGCCGGGTGTGGTGGGGCTGGTGGGGAGTGTGGAGTGGACAAGGGAGTCACGGAGACAGCGGTCCCTCTGGAAAGCAGATAAGGGTGGGGAGGGAAAAATGTCTTTGGTGGTGGGGTCGGATTGCAGATGGCGGAAGTGTCGGAGGATGATGCGTTGAATCCGAAGGTTGGTGGGGTGGTATGTGAGGACGAGGGGGATTCTGTTTTTGTTTTTTTTGCGGGGATGGGGTGTGAGGGATGAGTTGCAGGAAACGCGAGAGACGTGGTCAAAGCCGTTTTCGACCACTGTAGAGGGGAAGTTGCAGTCCTTGAAAAATGAGGACATCTGGGATGTCAGGGAGTGGAATGCCTCATCTTGGGAGCAGATGCAGCGGAGTTTAATTAAGAGCTAGCTCATATGGATCCTCCTTAAGTGACTGAGATAGGCCTTTGTATTAGGAGCATATACGAGTAGCCAACTTAGTGAGATTTAGCACTGGAGTGCAACTTACAATAGAGTGCCACAGATGGGTGCTTCAAGGAGAGAGGGGATGGAAGGTAAAGTGGTGTTTGGTTGCTTTTGCCTAAACGTTCTTAGCCTCCACAAGTTGACTTTTTTGCTCTACTATAGGAAAAGAAGCTGAGTATCTGATAAGTGGTCAAGGTTTATTCAATTCAAACCCCCAAAAGCAAGGTGTGAGCGGTAGATGATAAAAGGTGCCGATTGAGCGGTCTATCTGCATTGAGACCATTAAGACTGTGGAGTAACATATAAGCCACAATATGATATGAGCGTAGGGAAAAAGCAGCAGATTGGTGAATATTTCTAGTCTTTAGTTTGTCCTTTTTTTTTTACAAAGAGAAAGAAAAAGCATAAGTTGCTAAGTGTAAGATTGAAAATGGTATTGAAAAAAAATACAATTAAGTGGACAGAGAGGGGGGTTCCTCAACTGTTAAAATCCAGAGACACCAGAATAATTAATTAATTAAATAAATAAATAAAATTTCGTAGCGCTGGCAGGATGAGTGATGTGTTGCTTCTGCAAAACGTGGGAGTTACTGGACACCAAGGTGATCCAGAGCGAATGCATCCGCAGTAATTTTTTGCAGTTTGAGGATCTTTGGATCAATGGTGAGGACTGGAATGAGTTGCACACATCATGGAGGGAAAATGTTACCTGGACGCCCTGCTTCTGGAGGTGCCCATACTCTTCGGATTAGTCAATTCAAATTTGACACATGATCAGAATGTGAGGCCATAGTATGGGACCGGGGCAAATCATCCCATCCAGTCCAAACCAGTGTTTATGTGCCACTTCAGCTTCATCTCATTTTTGTCCCAATCTGAATCTACCTTAATCAACCTCTATTGCATTCTCACTCAAATGTCTGTTTGTTTCTCCTTAAATGCATTTAGACTACAAACACTCCCTGTAGTGGTGAGCTCCATATTGTCACCGCCCTCAGGATAAAAATGTTTCTCTTGAATTCCCAACTAGATTTCTTCATGACTATCTTATATCAGCAGTGTCTTTAAAAAGAAAAAAAAAAACATTATTGTATGTAAGCAGCGCTGACAAAATGAACTTTATTGCCCATTGCTAACTGTCCTGGAAAAGGTGTAGTAAGTTGCCTCCTTAAACCACTGCAGTCCCTTTGGTGTAGGTTGACGTAGAATGGTGAGTGGCTTGAAGTGGACCTTGCAGGAGGTGGTGTTCCCATGTATCTGCTGCCCTTGCCCTTCTAGATGGAAGTGATCATGGGTTTTAAAAGGTGCTGTACAAGGAGCCTTGGTGGATTTCTGTAGATGGTGCTGTTACTGTGAACGTTTGTGCATGTGGTGCCTTTCAAAGGGGGCTGCTTTGTTCTGGGTGGTGTTAAGGTTTTCCGATGAACTTTGAGCTACACTCAACCAGGCAAGGGAGCCATATTCCATCAGGCTCTTAACTTGTGCCTTCGACAGACTTTGCAAAGTGAGGCATTCCTTGCCTTTGAGCTGTGCTTGAAACCACAGCATTTATATGATTAGTCCAGTTAGTTTCTGGTCAATGGTAACACTCAGGATGTTGGTAGTGGGGGATTCAGTGATGGTAACACCATTGAATGTCAAGGGGCAGTGGGCAGATTGTCTCTTGTTGGAGATAATCATTGCCTGCAGCTTGTGTGGTATGAATGTTACTTGTTACTGGTCAGCCCGAACCTGAATACTGTCAAGGTCCTTTAGCACTGAGAAGTGGCAATCAGTGCTGAACATTGCACACCTATCAGTGAACATTCTCACTTCTGACCTTATGATGGAGGTCATTGATGGGACAGCTGAAGACAGAGCTCCAAGGTTCACACACAGCAGTGACTTTTGGAACTGGAAGTCATGCTGTGATCTGTGTGGGTATGCCTTCCTCAGACCTTCTGAGTGGCTGTGCCATGCTTAGAGAGAGTGTTGGTTTTCAGTACTATTTCTGGAATATTGCCAGGGCTGCCTCCAACTACTTCTCGAGGATAAATCAAATTGGCTGAAAACGGGCATTTGTGGTTTTGAGAGTGACAGGATTAATGAATGACCTCATAGTAAAAGCATCTCAAAAGTAGCAGCGATGATAACATGATTGAATTTTACATTCAGTTTTCAAGGTGGAGGAATGGATCTTGGACTAAAATTTTAAACTTTTAAAAAAAAGGCAACGATTTTGACATAAAAGCTAAGATATCTGAAGCGAATTAAGATATTAGCCAAGAGATGGATCAGTCAAGAAACAGTGGCAGACAATTTTAAAAGGGATATTTCAGAAGAGAATAGCTAAAAGGCTAAAATGGTTAAAAGGTTAATCTTGATAAAGAAATTGGAGCATGAAAAGCATCTGGCTAGAAATGTTAATACACATAGCAAGAGTTTCTTCAGGTTTGTAAACAAGGAAAACAGTAAGTAGAGTGAGTATTGGTCCTCCAGAGGGAAAAAATGGGAAGTTAATAGTAACTAATACAGAAATGGTGGATTCAATAAATAATTTGCTTCTGTCTTTAGTATAAAGGATCTGATAAAGACCCTAGTAATACATGTAAATTAGGACATCAAAGGACCAGACCAATGTGGTAGAATAATAATCACCAGGGAAATGGTATGGAGCAATCGGGTTGATAACTCTCAACGTCCCCTGATGGACTTCATCCTCAGATATTAACAAAGTAGTTGATGCATTGATATTAATTTTCCGAAATTTGTTACATGCTGGAATGGTTCCATTAGACTCAAAAATGGCATATATAACTGAGCTATTCAAGAACAGGGAAGTAGAAAACAGGCCAGTTAGCTTGGGAAAACTGTGAGAATTGATCATTAAGGTGGTTACAACTTGGCACTTGGGAAAAAAAATCCAAGATAATCAGGAAGCGTCAGCATGGTTTTGTGAATGGAAAATTTTGTTTAATCAATTTATTGGAATTTTTTGGAAGGAGAACCAGAGAGAAAGACTGCCCAAGGATTTCTAAAAGACATTTGACCAGGCTGCACACAAGAGGTCACTGTGCAAAGTAAGAGCTAACATAACATAGATAGGAGATTGGTTGGCTTGCAGAAAACAGATTAAGCAGAAAAGGCTGTGTTTCAGATCGACAGAGTGTGACAAATGGGGTCTTGCAAGGCTCTGTGCTGGGCCCTCACGTTTTCACAATTTATATTGATGACTTCGACTTCAATGAGGGGATCAAAGGTATGATGGCTAAATTTGCAACGTAGAAGAAGTTAGGCTAGAAAGCACATTGCAAAGATCACACAGCACATCCAAATTGGCATGCATCCTTGTTAAGCGAGTGGGAAAACATCTAGCAGATGGAGTATAATGTGGGGAAATGTGAAGTTGTTCACTTTGGCAGGAAGGATAAAAAACAGGCCATTAAATGAGTGATACACAACTGCAGCATTTGAGGTGAAGAGTGGCACGACTATCAAAAGGTTAGTATTCAGGTACGAAAAGTGATCGAGGTGGCTAATAGAATGCTATCCTTATAAGATGAAATGAACATACAAGTAAGGATGTTGTGCTTCAGTTATACATGGCATTGATGGGACACAACTTGAATACTGTGTGCAGTTTTGATCTCCTTATTAAAGGAAAGATGTAACTGTTTTAGACAGCAGATGAGAGGAGGTTTGTTAGATAAATACCTGGAGTGAACTTATGAGGAAAGATTGGGCAGGCTGGACCTATTTCTACTGGAGTTCAGAAGAGTGAAAGATGGTTTGATTGAAATTTATAAGATCCTGAAGGGTCTTGACAAGGTGGATGTAGAAACGATGATCACTCCTGCACGTGGGTCCCAAAATAGGTGGCACCGTTTTAAAATTAGGGGCCACCCTTTTTGGACAGAGATAAGGCGATCGGGGGCAGATTCGGTTTCTCTCAGAAGATTGGCAGTGAGTTGCACACAGAAAGCAATGGAGATGAGGTCATGGAATTTTTTCTTAGGGTGGAGGTAGACAGATTCTTGTTAGGCAGTGGGATTAAGGGTTATGGGGATATGTGGCAATGTGGAAGGCAGAACACAAACAGATCAGTGATGATCTTATCGAAAGGCAGTACAGGCTGAATGGCCTACTCGTGCTCCAAGTCCCTCAGGATCATTTTTTTTGTTTCAATAAAATCATCCCTCATTATTTGAAATTCCAATGAATACAGAACTAATCAATGTTCTTTCTAAGCCACTCAGAGATCACTGTCAACACATCAACTTCCGCATACGGAGGTCACTGTCACTCACGGACCTTGGAAGGTCACGCACTGGGGGTAAAATGATTTAGGGTGCACGTGGGACCCAACCTGTCTAATCCCTCCTCCTACGGACAACCCCTTCAGCACAGAAAAATCTTTGAACTGCTTCCAACACATTTATATCCTTCCTTAAATAAAGCAAACAAAACTATACACAGTACCCCAGATGCGGTCTCATCAATGCTCTGTACAAAAGCTATTGAAACGTCTCTACTTTTGTATCCCAGGCCCCTTGCAATAAAGGCCAACTTCCTTGCGCCTTCAGTCCCTCTGTACCTGCATAATAAGCCCTTTGTGATTCATGTTCCAGAACAGCCAGGTCCCTCTGTACCTCAGAGTATCATAACCTCTCACCATTTAAGTAATACGCTTCTATTCCATTCCTCTACTGTTGCTGCCCCTTACTTAACAGCATTTCCTTTTTCGGATTAGTTTCATGCCAGGACTGTACCTCTTCCTACTCTCTTCTCTCTCTTTCTATACAGTCTCCCAAATCCTGTGAACGAAGGCTTTGCCGAGCAGAGTTGTTGTTGGTCCCTGGTAGATGTGCCAGGGGACAGGTTTGAACTACATGATTGGGTTCTCGTCGCTGATTCAGCTGGAGGTTAGGAACCCCTCTCCCTGATGAAGATGATCAGTGGGAAGTGATCATTGAGCTAGGAGAGATTTTCCTGTACAAAGGTGCCTTTGTGACTGCCCCGCTACCTAATTTTATAGTAACATTTCTTTCTCCACCGGCTTCAAAGTTAAATATTGCGAGACACATTCACCGCAGTCAAACAGGTATCCGGAAGTTTAGCCAGTATTTACACACCACAGATTTGCCTGAATCTCAATGTGAACATCACATGCCGTGTTAACCATAGCCGTGACTAGGCCTCAGAACTGCCTCACCTCCTATCAATCAACGGAACAAGGATCCGAATCCCAGCAGAACTCCTAACTTGCAAAACCATTTTGTTTTATAAATCGGCATCTTTGGGGTCAAGTAATTTTATTGTACGTGAGTGGGAGCTTCCAGAAGGGGCAATTTACTGAAATCTCTGTTCACACCTTCTAAGATCAGCCAATCAGTACGTAACTTGCATCCTTAAACTATTCCAGCAACATCACAGCCTTAAAGTAACTGACTATGGATTTGCATGGGTTAATTATTAACTAGGTATGGGTTACTGTCCATTCCGTCCTCACCTTAAATTAATTGCTTCAATTCCAAGGTGCCTGACCCGTCGAAATTTGACAGACAGAATTCTCAGCGAGCGGTAACGCTGAGAAAGTTGGCTCGAATTGACATGACGACTGGTAAATGTTCAGTTCTCCACTGGGGACAGCTGAGGAGCCTATAACAGAATGAAGAGAGTCCTTCTCGTAGTAACAGGTAGCCTGTAAGGGGCTGTGACTCAGAGCTGCTTCCATTTTACTGTAGGGAGGCAGAGGAGCGAGGGAACTGCTATCTGGAAACAGCAGCTCAGCTCTCGCAAGAGGAGCACGGCCTTCATATTCACAGGATGCAAACATACAGCTGCTGTTGATGCTGGGAGGCAGCCCCATCGGAAACTGATTTACTGTGGTCCTTTGCTTGTCTGCTACACCGCAGCTGTATGGAAGCTGTTCGCTGCTGTTTTGGTCCAGATAACAAGCTGCAGAGACCCTTTCTGGTGAGGTCTGTGTCAATCCACAAAATGGCTGCGGTATTTGATGGTGGAAGCAATCTTGCACTCGGTATGACTGCATGGGATCTTGCTGTCCATTCTGCATTTGCGCCTGCCACTGCATTAATGGCTGCTGCTGCTGTGGAGCATTTAAAGGCTGCACTTTCAGCTGGCCATTTAATCCGGAGTACTGGGGTTTTTGTAGCATGCTCTGCTGCAAGTTCCCTTGTGGTGACATCTTCCCCATGTTCGCATGCTGCACATTGGCCTGCTCTGCACAGCTCATCTTTGCCAGGGTAGTTCTGCACTGATTTGGAGGGCTGCACAAAACGAGACTCCGCTGGTTAGGAGGATGACACAAGCTCATTGGGAGGGGATTCTGCAAGGACGATTCCATCGGGTCGGGAATTCCAGCATGCATTTCGTTCTGCGCTCCAGGCAGGTGTGCGCTCTGGAGTCCAAATGGCATCATGTTCTGTGGCCCAGAAATGATTGGGTTCTGGGGACCAAGCAGAGATGGGGTTTGGGGTCCAGCGGACTGGTGAGCTGCCGCTGTTACATTTTGAAAGCCAGGCATTGCTGGGTTCTGGCTGTCAAAACCAAGTGGCTTTTGTGGTACGGGTCCAAATGGGTTTTGTTGACTCGGCCCCATTAAGCTTCCTACTGTGGTGTCTAAGGTCTCCTGTGGGACCTTGTTACCTTTCGGGTTGTTTTTTGTCAGCATGTTCTCAACACACGACAATATAAAATCTGTGGTGAGGATATCACTGAAATCTTCTGGGATCGACGTATTGTCCATTTTCATTAAGGTCTCCTCCCACTGCTCCAACTCTGTGTTCTCCACATCCAGGTTTTCCAGAGTGTCACAGAGGTCATTTTCATCCACAGTCTTTTGTGAGAGAATATCCATGATGGTTGAGAGCGGGTCATCCTGGTCAAGGTCCATCTCCTCCTGTTTGGTCGAGTTTTTGCCATTATTGTTTTGCTGCCAGAAATCCCCTGGCACATTTAAAACAGAAAAGTCATTTGCAAAGATATCGTCAAGGTTAAACTCTACTTCATTAAACGAGGTATAAGCAGACGGATCCTGAATCATCCTGGCACCCAGAAGTGAACTGGGGTTGATTCCGTTTATTGGGTCAGTTCCGTTTGCTCCTACAGAACTCTTCTTGACCTTCGCACCTTTTCCTTTAACTTCAAATGAACCAAGATGCTCCAAAAACAACGGATTGTTATTGTACAGAACTGCCTCTCCTGTAGCAAAGTTGAATGATATCTCCATGGACCTTTTCCGGAGATGTTCCTCACCTTCTTCATTCCTGAGAGGGAATTGAAACAGAGAGACAGAGAGAAAGAAAGTTACTTACTGTTTTGTAAACCTACGCTCTCAACCATCAATTCGCAACTGAACCATTGTGGTTTAGATATCAACGTGGCCATCGAGTCAAAACTTCAGGAGTGAAATTTCCTTCATTGCTCTGATTTCAGACGGAGCAAAGGAAATCCCTTACATCAGACTTCCATTTGCACTGAGCTGCTTTGTAGTAGGCATGACCCAGGTGCACTGTAAGCATGGAGATGACGTAGGGGAACACGATAAATAGGAGGCGTCTCCCCCATCAGATTTTCTGCCCCGACACCACTTTTCTGTGACTCGAACCCAGGTCTCTTGACTCCCAAAGATCCCACTTCACACTCTCTGAATTCAAGAAACTCTCCTCATCTCAGGCAGGAATGAGAGACCCATAAGCCGGACACCGCCACCTTTTCTACTGGACTCTCCAGCCAAAGGAAGGGGGAGCTTCCTGGCCTCCTGCCTCTGTCACATAATCGTCATGCTGTCGGCCACAGGAGATCCTTGGGACAGCTGTCAACAGGTCTTCCAAATCTTATAAGGTCTCTGCAAAATCCAGGGTAATGAAGGGAGGGAAACAAGCTGGCCAGCATTCTATTCTTTTCCAGAATTCCTCACCCCTTTGCTCGAAGGTGATAATGCAAGAAACAACACCAACACTCCCAATCCTGGCTCAAACACCCTGTTTCTGCTCTACCAAACCCAGCAGCTCAGACCATCCCCATTGGGGAGCTAATGAATGGCACCCATTGGCCACTCACAATCCAGACACACCTCTATGCTGTTTGCTCAAGAGTGCCTTAGATAAGAATGACTCCTTGTGTAGTATATGCCATATACAATTAGACAGGTACATGGATAGGATAGGTACAGAGGGATACAGACTAAACGCAGGCAAATGGGACTAGTTTAATTGTTAAAAATGGGCGGCATGGGCAAGTTGGGCTGAAGGGCCTGTAGATCTCCATGACTCTACTGTCAGTGCCTCTAAACCAGCACACACAAGAGGCAATCAAAGTGAGGTGCCAGGCCAAAAACCAACATTTGACATTCTGCAAACCACGGACTTACGTTAAGGGCCTCTGTTTGCAAATGATGGAGTCAGGCTTTCCACCTTTATAGACCAGCCGGGCACTGGCCTGGACCCAAACCCAACTGTTCTGTTTGGTCAGCAATCTGAACACTGTCATTCCACTCTCTCCAGTTTTAATCACTGAAAACACAAGCATAATGGGATTAGAAAGCAAGAAGTGAAACAGGCAACTAGCCCCATCAAATTACTCCTTCCACCCACCAGATAATGGAAGGTGTAGACTTTTCGGGCCAGTGTTTGTCATACAAAAGCGAGTGAGACCCTGGAATATTCAGACTCCCTCTGCCAAGTACTCCCACAGTGACTGACATTTTACAAGTTACAAAAGTGAGCTCTGGATCTCAGCAGCATGGGCTGGGTGTCTCACATGGTCATGGCACTGCTATCGGTTATCCAACAAATTCATCTGCTCCTGCTTATCCTTCGTTTCCTGTAATGCCTTCCAATAGATCCCATTTTGTCTCATTCACCATTCTGGTTACCTGTACATCTGCAATCTACAGGCAGTCTCACTCTCGCAGTGTTCTACCTCTCTAGAATAGAGTGATACAGTATCCCAGCTAGTACATTAAACTAAAGCTCTGGAATCTATATGATAGCCAGTTTAATTGGAAAAATGTAAACAAGAATGCCTTTGAAGACTGGGTTGATCGCCATGTCACATGTTAGCATTGTCTGCAATGTCACCAGTTCTGGTATTAGACATTCTAATTCTGCGGTCGTTAAAGGTGTGCTTGCTAAAATGTGAGCTCTGCAAATACATAGCTTTCTGTTTCAATGGACAGATCCCTCCCTCTTGTGGAATGATGGCAGTACCACAGCAGCAATTTGCTCTTGGGCTCCACGATGTCTCCTGTGAACGCGAATACATTAACTGGAAAGAGGAGACAGACAATATTACCCAACTGGATGCCGCTAACTGCTTTTGTAAAATTACTATTCCAGCCTGACTTTCATGTCCTTCTTCATATAATACTTAGGTGCTTCAAACCCAAGCTTGGTATCATCCAATCTATCCTACAGCTGATCAGAGAATCCCTAAGCTGCAGAAGCAGGCCATTTGACTCATAAAAGTCCACACTGACCTTCCGAAGGGCATCCCAGCCAGACTCACCCTCCTACTGTATCTCTGTAACCCTGAATTTCCGATGGCTAATCCATCTAGCTTGCACGTCCCTGGACACTATTGGTCATTTAGCATGGCCAGGCCACCTAATGATGTCTTTCTTGGTTTCTGGATGCTAATGACTGACCAGCAATATGGAGCCTTATCCCCTCACACAGTTTCTCAATGTAAGTGAAAGGTGTTGTTAGGCTATACTCACTTCTCAGATGATTATCCGCACAGTACATCATATCGGCAGCATGGATGAACTGGTAACCTGTGCCTCGCATGCACAGCTCAGTCTCCGTGTAACCCAACACAAACTTGCCCCTGTAAAGGAACAAAAAGCACTCCATAACTAAACGATACCAGACATGAGAATGCCACACCATGGACTGTCTTGAAGATGAGTAACATCCAGCTCCAGTGCCTGTCCCTCACTCCATTGTCCCCCCCCACCCCCAGGCAAGACCTGTCACTGATTAAATCATCTGCCCTCTTTGGCAACAGGGCGTTCAAACGCCCAGTCTGTACTCCATTTGCGTGTTGCGTGAACCTAAAATACTCCCTTAGGCTTTGCCCTTCAAAGCCAGGATTAATGTTCCTTGTGCTGAAAGAACAACCCTATCTGGATTTGCTCTCATCAGATATCAATTGAGAGAGCTCCTGACACTCACTGTGAACGTTCATGTGGGTGGCAATGGATGCCAACTGAGGCTGCAATGCCCCACACCAGTGTGGGTCAATGCATTTCAGAGAGGTGAGAAAGCAAGAAGGACTTTCTAATCAAGTGACGCTGAGCAAAAACTGATAAGCCCATGGGATTAATTCACAGGATGTGGGCATCAATGGCTAGATCAGCATTTATTACCCACCTCCAAAGCCCTCCAGAAGGTGACTGTGAGCCCTCTTCTTGAATGTAATGGAGAGCCTCGTTGGACCAATTCTTCGTCTCACCTTCTGTGAGCTCAAGGATGATTTATTTCCACTCTGCTTCAACAGGCTCCAGGTTGGCTGGCAGTACAATGTACCATCGCAGACTCTGCCACACGTAGGGCAGCTAGCACTCGAAGGGTCGGGTCAATGAATCATTTGGATGCACTCCCTCAGGCACCTTGACCATTTTGTAGAGCAGTTTAAGAGTCAACCACATGACTGAGGGTCCAGAGTGACACATGGGTCAGATTGGGTAAGGATATTAGTGACTGTCTAGTTGACCGATAGTCACCATCGCTGACAGCTACCTGCACTCCCCCCACCCCCCAATTTCACCAGCACTTCAGTTCCTTTGACATGCTGTCAATTACCATTCACATCCCCCACCCCCGTGTCCCACAATACGTACTTTGTGTCGCATGCCATTGGCGTGAAGTCCAACCTGTGTTTAGTCTGGAATATGAGCGTCTTGGCCCGCACCTCCAGGATGGACGGGGGCTGGAGAGGGGTTGCCATGGCAAACAGAGCCAGCTGAGAGGGGATGGGAGTACCGTCCTCCGCTTTCTTATTTTGTCCATGTAGGAACTTCAAACGCCCCTGAAAGTTCAGCGTCTATGACAAATTACAGAATCGATGAATGAAAAACGCACAGTGCCCTGGTTCCAGCCTAGGTACACCAACTTGTGTGTTCAAAATCCCAAAAAGAGGTTGGCTTACCCAAAAGGACCCAGTTCACCTGGATCACTCTGTGAAGGTAGCATGCCAACGCAAAGGCCTGATTTTACGTTGGATTATTTGACATTTCATTGTTTTGAGGTACATACCTTCACAATGCCAAAAGGTCACTACCTGGCCCAGTTTTTCCCTCCTGTTGGCTTGGTCATCTGATCTAACATCTCCTAACATGACTCGGTGTTTTATAACACACCTGTGAACGCCTTGGAGAGTTCCCTTACAGTAAGGGTGCCATTTAAGTTGTTGTAGTCCAGATGCAAAGTCCAAGGTGGACTGTCCCGAAAGCCGTGGACTGGTTGAGTAACAGGAGACGCAATCCCCTTCGCGTGTTGCTGTCAGTACAGGAATGTGGGAGTCCTAGCTATCACACCCATCTGGGATGCTGATCAGAGACTTTCCAGGTCTCCAAAGCTCAACATTAGATAAATGCATCGAGACAGCCTCCTGATTAGAGCCATCTTTGCCTGTCTGCGCAAGAGGTCTACCCCGATTCCAAACACAACACGCAGAAACTGAAACGGAGCCGATTCTGCATTCTTTACCAGAAAGCCAGAGGAGTTGTCCAACAGGCAACGGAACCGACAGATAAAGTTCCTCTCCATGAAAGAGGAATTCTCAGGCGCCAAATCAAAGGTCATGACCCTGGAGCAAAGGCCACCGTTCTCAGCAACACCTAGGTAGTGAAACAGGAAGAAAAATGTATCAGGAAGTAAGACACAAAAAGGTGGGTGATCCGAATTTTTACAAAAGGATGAAATCGGGGCATTGTTACAGCATGTTCACCCTGTCATGCCTGTAGCAGCTCTTCAAATGGGCAATGAACCCTAAGCACAATAAAATCTAACTCCAACTGTAACCTGTCACAACCCAGGCTGCAGGGGTTCACTGTCAAGCGGCCAAGATACGCAGGAGGCCTTCTTACAAGATAAAAAACCTTCCAATGCTCAAACTGAACTTCCAATGACGTCTTTTGAAGACACCACTCCAAACGCTTCCACATAAATTAATCCCAAGTTTCCTGAGCTCTATTAAATATGAAGCACTCTTGGCGCAACCTGCACATTTTTGTTTTTGCAGGAATGGCTATTGTTTCGAGAGCGCGTGGAGGAAGCCAGGTCCACCACGGCTTTCAAAAGGGAACTGGTAAGCAACTGAAGCAGCAAGGCGATCTGCAGGGCTATGTGGCAGAAGCAGGAGAGTGGGAGAGTGGGAGAAGTCAAGTTGTTCTTGCAGAGGGCCAGCACGGAAACGATGGGCCGAATTTTCTACTTCGGTGCTGTCACCATTCTACAATCCAATGCATTTATCAAGCACATTTTGTGAACTGATCTGCCGCGTCTTTGACTTGACGCAAAGGAATATTTTTTCGTTAATCGTAGTGCTTTGATCTAAACCTGCGAATTATATGATAACTCACCATCTGCTCGAAGGTCAGATTCCTGACAGGCAGGTGGATTCAGAGCCCAGTGTAGTTGCTGACGGAACATTGCCCGGTCGTCTGTGTGGATCAACTCAAAGACACTTTGGTGTACCACATCCGACTGCGACAGAACAGGAAAATCACATCGAGTCAATTGGATAGTCAGACAGCACCAAACCGAGAATAATGGCCCACTGTCAGCCAAAAACCAGAGAAACATAAATTCCTAAGTGCCTGCCAGCAAATGATCAAAGCTAGGATACAAATAGAAAGGGAAACTGGAAAAACTGGAAATGTTAAAACAACAAATGCTGGAACTGTACAGCGGGTTATTCAGAAAGTACGGTGGGGGTGCGTGTAGGGAGATTCGAGGCATGTTGTATGGGTAAGAAGAAACAGACAGACAAAAGGGAAAGATTGTTACATTCCCTCAAGCATTTTACAGCAACAACATACTTTTATTATTTTATGCACAACAAGCTCCCACAAAATACAAGGCGCTGATAAGCAGACAATCTGTGTTCTAGTGACGTTGATTGAGAGATAGATGTTGGCTATGACATCGAGAGTAATTTCCCTGTTCTTCCTCGAAATAGTACCTTATGATCTTCCCACCTGAAAGGACTGGTCAGTTTTTGAGTGCAGTGCAGGAAAAGGTGGAACATGAGCAATAAGGTTCGGGGGTAGGTGAGCGATAAAGAGAGCGAGGGGGAGGGAGGTGAAAAGGAGAGCGGGGGGGGCAAAAAGGAGAGCGGGGGGGCGAAAAGGAGAGAGCGCAAGGGGGGGGAGAGAAGGAGAGCGAGAAGGGGAAGATAAAGATAGCAAGGGAGGAGAAAGAGAGGGAGAAGGAGAAAGAAAGTCAGGACAGCAGAGTCAAGAACATAGAAAAACAAAAAACAAGAAAAAGGGGAACAGCAGGGAAGAAGCAAGCATTGAGAAAACTCTCAGCATTGTATTCCCTCCCTACTGCTGTCCAACACAGAGTGTCCTATACACCTCTCTGCAACTCAGTGTAAGTACTTGTCCCTCGTGTGTATTTCCCTGGTTATACTGAGAGAGGAAAGTAAGGGAGAGAACATGGCACCCAGAGTCCAATCCTGAGCCCATCCTGCCTCCAGGCAGAGGTGACTGGGTTAGGTTTAGGAGCAAGAACTCTGCCCTATGGGCTGTGTCCCTGGCTCAAAGCTGCCACGTACCTGCAACATTATTCCAGAGCTACTTCTTCGGTTGTGACCAGCTACTCACTGCCAAGTGGCCAACAGACCAAACAAGCACGGCTTAATAAGCCACCATGATTAAAAAAAATTCCTTATTATGGGCACTCATTCACAGCGACACACCAGCAGTTGCTGTTTGCCGAGTTGAAAATACGCCATTTATCCTGTACCGGAGAGGTGGGATGGGTGCAAAGTGAGACTGAGAGGATCCACCAGCAGGATGGCAGCAGATTGAGGGGTGGAGGAGTTGTACAAGGGAGTGGGATGGAGCAGTCGGAATTGCTGCTCACACGGAGACAGAGCCAATTCCCTCAAGTGGACTTTTACAGAATTCCAAGGTAAGGCCAAAGGGGAAGTCCGAGAACTCTGCAAACTCTCACTCCACAGCTTCTCAATCACCTAAACCCCCAAACGAAGCTGGACATAACCCACTGAGTGAAGAGCTTTCGCTTCCACGACTGAATGGAAATCAGACAAAGACCAAATCAAAAGGTCAAGCAACACACTGTGACGCCCCATTGGCGGATGCTTTAAGACATTTCACTGAGGCAATAGTTTTGTATTTAAATTTATCAAATTGCACTCAAAGCTCTTCATACCTTGGTGAGCCTTTAACGATGGAAATGTTCCCGATGCAGCATGGGAATGGGAAATGATCCAAGTGAGTTTTCTGCAATCCTAACACAGAACGCAGCACCATTCATGAAGAGCTGAACCCCAAGTGTGTATCTTCACTTTTCAGGCATTGATTTTTTTTTTTAAAGAAGTTTCAATTTTTTAAATATCAATTTCCTCTAGCCCCATTTAGATTTCATCTTTTCAGGTGAGCATGTTGCTAGTCATAATACTGGAACACCACAGTCTGACAGCAAGGCTGCAGAGATTGTTTTTGAGGATGGGAATGCCTGTGGTTTTGTGATTATCTGTTTCCTTCAGAAGTCTCTTACCAGCATAGATTACGTCAACAGGAGGGCTGGTTCCACATTTCAGCACATGTCACTCCAACGGAATTCTGTATCCAGACACAACTGCACTGAGCAACCCCCCACCCACCAGCCAAAGCTGCTCCCCCAGACAGAGCTCCGCACTCCTCCCCGCACCTCCCAAGCAGATACAGCTCTATATCGCCCATTTTAGCATGGAATCGAACTCCCAAAAACAGTGGCTGAGGGACGATAACCAAAAAAAAACAACTTGGCCTGTAGAGATCACTTGGAGGTCATGCCTCTGACAACCAGTGTTTCTTCCTTGGCGCCTCAGTGCATTAAAAGAAAGCTGATGCCCAGTTGCCAAAACCACAAAGTTTCCTAAATATAAACTGTGCAGGATGGGAAACAGCAAACTCTGTGCTTGCGTCACACCGAAGATAAACAAGGACAGAGGCCGCGTTCCCTTCTAATGGCTCTCTGATATTCAACCGCTCCACTCTAAGACTCTCTTTTACAAACGCTGCATCACAAAATAAATAAGCTCACAATTCCCAGCATTGCAAACACTAAACAATTAACTGCAGTTCATTTAATGTCATAATCGAAACACTTCTGTGTACGATTTAGGGCAACGGTTTTCGGTTCCTCCTCTGTATTATCTAAAAGGTACATGTTCTTTCCCAGTGACTTTAGAGTCTTATATTTTGCAACTACAGGTGAAAATATTTATTACATTTCCCCCTTATCAGAAATGCAGCCAGACATAATACATTAGTTATGTAATACAGCTCCCTGTTTAACATTGCCCTTCCAGTCACATCCATCTGGTACATCACATGTTTTAAAAAAAGTGCATGTAACACCCTCCACATACCATCAAACAAAACTTCTTCCAGCTGGAAGGTAAGTCAGAACAGATATAGCTCCTTCTACATTATCCTTCCTATATTTGCCCTCCAGTAGTATCCATCAACTGAATGCTAACTTGTTCACTCCTATAGACTTGGTAATAGGACTTAGTTCAGGTTTCCCGTTCAGCCAATAAATTCAAAAACCTTCCATTCCATCAATCTATGCCAGATTTTAACACCGAACCTGTCACTGCAAACACGGGCCAGGATTCCTCAAGTTTGCTGATACTCAAGTGACCATACCATCCTCTTCCAAAGGCTCTTCTTTATAGTCCGTACTTGGCCTCAACATTGTCTATCCAACTGTAGCCATAGCATCACTGGCAATGGCTTCTCATCCCTCCAACATCTCCCAGAAATTGATCCTTGGCTTCATCTAATTCAAGCTTCTCTCTCTCAAACTGTGTGGTGAATTCTATCATATTATGATCACTGCCCTCTAAGAGTTCCTTCATCCTAATCAAGTCTACCTCATTTCATATCAGCAAATCCAGAATTCCCAGTTCCCTACTGGGCTCTAACACAAGCTGCTCCAAAACAAAGTCTTGACATTCCACAAATTCCTTTACTTGAGATCCGCTACCAACGTGATTTTTCCCAGTCAAATCCCCCATGATTATTGTAATGGTGCCTTTCTTACATGCCGATCCTATTTCCTAATTTATTTCCTTTCCCACATCCCGGCTATTGCTCGGAAGCCTGTACACAACTCCCATCAGTGTCTTTTTTTCCTTTGTGGTTCCTAAACTCTACCCACTCAGATTCTATGCCTTCTGATTCTATATCATTTCTTGCTACTGATTTCATTTCATTTCCTACTAACAGTATAACCCCACCCCCTCTACCTGTCCATTCGAAAGGACATGTATCCTTGAATATTTAGACCCCAACATTGATCCCCTTGCAGTCATGTTTCTGCGTTGCCCACAACATCATAAGTGCCAATTTTCTGCATTTCATGCACAAGTTCCCCCAAGTTCCTTTGTGTTGCAGCTTTCTGCAGTTTCTCTCCAGTTAAATAATATTCTGTTCTTTTGCCATCCTTTCCAAAATGAACAACTTCACATTTTCCTACATGATACTCCATTTACCAACCTTTTGTCCATTTACTTCATCTATAAATATCTCTCTATAAGCTATTGGTATCTCTCTCACAACTTTGCTTTCCACATATTTTTGTGTTATCTGCAAATTTGGCTACAGTACATTTATTTCCTTCCTCCAAGTCATTTATATTGTAAACAGTTGTGGTCTCAGCACTGATCCCTGTGGAACCCCACTGGTCATGGGTCACCAACCTGAAAATGAACCCCTTATATCCATTCACTGTTTCCTGCCCATTAGCCAGTTCTCTATCCATACTAATATACTACACCAACACCATGGGCCCTAGTGTTGGGACTTAACCTTTTGTAAGGTACTTTGTTGAACACCTTCTTGAAGTCCAAATACAACACATCTACTGGTTCCTCTCTATCCACTCTAGTTGGGACTTACTCATAAAAATCTCTGATAAATTAGTCAGACACGATTTCCCTGTCTTGAAGCCATGCTGACTCTGCTTGATTAAATTATGATTTTCCAAATATTCTGTTATTACCTCCTTATTAATTGACTTCCAATACTTTTTCAACAATAAATGTTAAACTAATCGGCCCATAGTTACCCACTTTTTTTGCCTCCCTCCCCTTTTGGAGGGGAATGACACGTAAGCAGTTTTCCAATTGTCTGGCACTTCTCCAGAATCCAAGGATTTTTGGAAAATTGCAACCAATGCATCTACTATCTTTGTAGCTACTTCTTTAGGGTCCTAGGATGCAAGCCATCAGAGCCAGAGGACTTATCTGCATTTAGCCCCATTAGTTCGTCTGATACAACTTCTCTAGTGATAATAATGGTACTTAATTCCTCTCGAATTCTTGAGTATTAGTGGGTTGTTCTAAGTGCCTTTCACCGTACAGACTGATGCAAAATATCTGCTTACCTCCTCTGTTATTTCCCCGTTCCCCAAAACTGTCTCTCCAGAGAGGAATCCCCAAATTCCTTCATTCCTTCATTCCTTCAAAAATCTATTGATCTTGGTCTTCAATACACTCAATGATTGGCCATCCGCAGCTCGCCAGTGTAGAGAATTCCAAAGACCCTCAAACTCTTAAATGAAGAAATTTCTACAAAGCTTAGTCCAAAATGGCCAGCCTTTATCCTGACACTGTGACCTTGTGTGCAGATGTTCTGACTAGAGGAAATATTTTCTCAGCAGATACCCTTTCAAGCCCTTTAAGAATTTTATGTTTCAATTGGATCATCATCAATTCTTCCAAACTCCAAGGATTCATAAGAATATTTGTCCCCATTTTAAGAATTTAAACAAAGCAGATTACAAGTCTTTAACAACAAGCCTGTCATTTAGAATGAAGCTTATAAAGGACACTTCTTTTGTTACAGCAGTTTTAGATGAGCTTTTAATACCTTTCAGTAAAAAAAATCTCATTTCAAAGATTGACCCGAATACTGATCATTCTGTTTACTGGATGGATAACAACAATTTACATTTAAATATCACTTTCAGAACAGTAAAACATCTAAAAGCATTTTGCAGAGCATTATCGAACAGAATTTGGTACTGAGCCACTTTGGGAGATATTAGGTCAGATGATCAAAAACGTGGTCAAAGGACTGAGTTGGAAGAACGGTCTTACAAGGAGGAGGAGAGTGAGTAGGGAGGCAGAAAGGTGAAGGGAAGGAAATCTAGAGCTTACAGCCCAGGTGGATAAAAGCACAGTCATTGACAGTGGAGGGTGGTGGTACAAGAGCACAAAATAGAAATTTTTCTAAAAATAAAATCAAAGAAAACATAGAAGAACAAAAATACCTGAAAAGAAAATCAACATCTAAAAAAGAGCTCATATTGTCACAGAGACTCTTCAACTATTTTTGATGAAGATTGAGGGGATGCTGGTTTTCTTGACGTCCTGTCTAATTGGCTGATCCCACCAAACCTATCTTTGGACACTTCTCACCAGAAACAATGACAGTCAACCTGTTAACGTGAGTTGCATTTGACTTCAGGTCCCAAACGTGAAAGGCTTGGATCTATCCCATTGGGCTGCCCAGCCCCACAAACAGTACGATCTTTACCATAGCTGTTTCAGTAGCACAAATTCTTTCCATGTACGATCTCAGACTCACCTGGTGAAAGCCAAGATAGTCCTGGATGGTGGGAGACGCGTAGAAGACATAGCCTTCAGCAGTGATGACCAGAATAAATCCATTCAGAGCCTTTCAAAACAGGGCAAAGGGTTATAAGTCGCAGCAATAAGTCAACATAGAAAGCAGCAACTGACATCTGAACCTCAACAAGCTGCATTTATCAGCTGCTAAGTTCAACTAATGTGGACCACAATGATCCAAGCCTACACTTAACTGCACTTGTGTCAGTCCAATTTGAAGGCACAGAAGATTTCTTTAGAGTGTATCATCATCGACTCAAGTGACTTTATTTGTAACAGAGAAGTGCTTTCCAAAAACATACTTTTGGGTGATTTTATTCCACTTATCAACAATAAAACCATCAGGGTCAGGTATGGAACACTTCTCTAACTTTGCCAGTCCGTCAGTATTGGATATCGCTGCCTCAGGGCAGTGTCACTCAGTTAAATGGAAAGTAAAGCTGTGTAGATAATTTTTAATCAAACTGTCCACATGCATTACAACACATTTCTGGAGCAGGTGGGACCTAAACCTAGGCCTTCTGGTTCAAAGGAAGGGACACTACCATCGTGCCACAAGCCCCCAGCTAAAGCAGTGTGTGCTGTGTCCCCAAGCTCACCTGAAGGTGGATTCCTCCCTGACTGCAATAGTATGATCTTCTCATGACCACCACAGCCATATTTATAGCTTCGCCAATAGAGATTGCCAATTTAATGCCAGCCTGTGCCAGATCTTTCAAGTGCTTTTTTTGCACCACGATATCAACTAGGAACATTTTGACACACTATAAATCAGTTCACTTCAACCAATAACTAACAGTGGAGAGAGAGAGAGAGAAACAGACAAGAGGGTTTACAAAAAAACACAAGCTACACATGGCAGGACTGGAAGTGTGGTGGCTAGCAAAGATTCTGGATTCACAAGCTGCTTCATCAGATAGAAAAGAATTTGCTTTGGTCTCCGCTTGATCTTTCATATCATGATTTAATTTTTAAATTTCGAAGGTTAGTAACTGAAGTTAGTGCAACTCTCAACAACCTATGGTTCTCATTAACGCAAAAACATCAATGCCATATCCATTTATGGTCATATGTGTCCTATCAAAATATGGGAATGGAATAAAGTGTGTCATTGTAAAATAAAGAAGGTTTTCCATGGGAGCACTGTGTTCAGAGCATGAAATTAAAGCAGCACTCAGATGTCCTTCCTTGTGTCAATGTTTTCTGACAGTTCTGCTGATCCTCCATCGTTGCCAAAAGACGGCCCCATCAGGGACTGTCATAAGGGCATTAAAAACAGGAGCAGGAGTAGGTCTTTCAGCTCATCAAAGCTGCTCTGCCATTCTGTATGATCTGATCTGATTGTAGCCTTGACTCCACTTTCTGGCCCGCCCCATAACTCATGATCTCCGTGCCAATCCATCAAAAATCAGCCTTTATTATTATTGATTTAGCAACTGCAAATCTCCAGAGCTATGCAATAACCTCCTCGTTTCTGACTTGAAGGTGATTAATCTGCCATTTAATCCCATCGCTTCGAGGGAACACTCATTGTTTGAAACTCTCCACAAACGCATCAGGAACTACTAGCGAGGACCCAGCAGTGAAGGTAGGCTGTGCAGGAACCCTGGCTTGACCCAGTGTGTTTAGCAAGGAGCATTCTCAATGTGGCATTCTGAAGTCTGCCATTGATCTGGAAGCATTTGTCACAGGGAGCGTTTTGGTGACTTATGCTGGTTCTCAATCCTTGATCCAAAGAACGTCTGATGGTGCTTGTTGGTCAGGAAGGGTGCATCAAATGGAATGCCCAGACGGGAGGTCAGCAACAGGTCGATGCAACACGGAAGGTAAGCGAGGTTCAGCACTGGACGGTTTCAACCCATTTGTGGGTTTTCATCAGTCGACAGACACGTTCGGGAATGATTTTTGTAACGACGGCAATCCAGGGAGAGTGGCTGAGGAGAGGGTTCCAGATACAATGCTTATTGTTGCAATCAGCCAAGTGTCTTTGCTCAGTAACCTGAGTGTGACGTGAAACACGCTGAGGTCTGGCGCCTTGTGCCCCACGCATAACCAGTGAGCTCGGTTTGTACGTTATTTCTGGCTTTCACTTTCCTGCTGCTGCTGCTTTCTTCAGATATTCCTGGAAGGGCAAAGTCCGCTTCCAAGAAAATTGTATTGGGATCATGCTGTAGCCCCGGCCGTCCGTGCACTATGCAGCTCATTTCTAGCACCAGCAACGTGGGAGGTGGGATACACTAGATAGAAGTATTCAATGACCCAGCTTCTATTGCTCACAGTGGATAGGAACTCCAAAGACTGACTCACATCACAAAGAGAAATTCCTGCTCACCTAGATCTTAAATGGGAAACCCATTTTCTTTAACCTGTGCCCCTTAGTTCCAGACTCCCCCATGAAGGGAAACGTCCTCTCTGTGTCTACCCCGTTAAGCCCCCTCAGATCTTCTCTCTCATGTTTCCGAGCTCCAGTCGGTACAGGCACAACATGCTCAACTTTTCGTGGTAAACCCTCCAAGCCAGTAATCAACCTCAAGAACCTTCTCTGACCACCAGGCCCCCTACAGCCCAACCAGATTGGTTGCTGCAGCTCATGGCAAAGGAATGGAGTAGCTGGCATCTGTAATTAAAGTGAAAATGGCAGCAAAATGCCAACGATGAACCACAGTGCCAGCTCATACTGACGACCTCAGCAGACATGCAAATACCTCCATTTTCTATGCATGGAAGCGAGACAGAATCTACGTTTTCTTCGGCCAATTTATCTTTGTTCCCTGGCTAATCACACAGGGTAATCCCTGCTGCGGGTTTTTTTTTCCTGAAATACTACATTCTATAAAGCACAATACATTCCAGTGGCCCCTCCCCCGACACTCAGCCCCCACCTCCCCCCACACCATGTCATACCATTAGTGCTGATAAACATCCCCTCACAATTAATGACTGCTTTGTTCTAATGCTGCTCCAATATGGGAAAAGGTTGCCAGCAAATAATGTAAATACAACCCTAAGTCACGCAAGGGAACCTTTTCCTCCCAAACAATGTGCTCTCAGCTCTCTGAAACAGTTTAAGTAAAGGGAGGCACCATTAAACTTTCAATCACTGCCAAGATAATTAGACTTTCTTGACCCAGTCTATTGTTGACCTGTTTTAAAAAAGCTCAAGTTCCACACTTCGCAGGATGTATTAAATACTAATGGTACTCAATGTTGATAAAAGATCCCACAAAAGCCCGACATAGGGCTCCCCTGCCCTTGACAGCATTCGAGAATAGTGAAGAGTATTAGTCCCCGAACATGGTGGCATTGGAGTTGCACTTGTTTTAAGGGCCTGTGGTTAGCTATTTCAATCAAAATACACAACATTAGACTTTTATCTCTTCTTTCATTCGTCTATTGGATGCACACGAGACTGGCGAGGCCAGAATTTACTACCCATCTTGAATTTCGCTCGAGAAGCTGAGGGAATACAATAAAGTGCTTTGCTGGGCCACTTCGGAGGGCAACCAAGAGTTGACCACATTGCTGCGCAGTGTATGTTCATGGGTAGCAAGACCTGGACAACATCCAGGCTAAGGCTGACAAGTGGCAAGTGGCATTTGTGCCACACGACTGGCATTCGACCATCTCCAACAACAGAGAATCCAATCACCTCCACTTGACATTATCATTGCTGAGTGTCCCCACTATCAACATCCTGGGGTTACCATTGACCAGAAACTCAACTGGACTCACCGTATAAATACTTTGGATACAAGAGCAGGTCTGAAGCTAACAATTCTGTGATGAGTTACCGACCTCTTGTCTCCTCAATGTCAAACTATCTACAAGGCACAAGTCAGGAGTATGATGGAATACTCTCCACTTGCCTGGATGAATGCAGCCCCAACAACACTCAAGGAGCTTGACACCATCCAAGACAAAGCAGTCTTCTTGATCGGCACCACACCCAAGACCTTAACCATTTGTTCTCTTCTTCACCAACATACGGGCGGCATGGTGGCTCAGTGTTTAGCACTGCTGCCTCACAGCGCCAGGGAGCCAGGCTCGATTCCACCCTTGGGTGACTGTCTGTGTGGAGTTTGCACATTCTCCCTGTGTCTGTGTGGGTTTCCTCCGGGTGCTCCGGTTTCCTCCCACAGTCCAAAGATGTGCAGGTTAGGTGGATTGATCGTGCTAAATTGCCCGTAGTGCTCAGGGATGTATAGATTAGGTGGGTTATAGGGGAATGGGTGTGGGTGGGATGCTCTGAGGATCAGTGTGGACTTGTTGGGCCGAAGAGCCTGTTTCCACATAGGATTCTATGATGCAGGGTGTGCCATCCACAAGATGCACTGCAGTAAAACACGAAGATCCTCTGACAGCACCTTCCAAACTTGTGACCTCTACCATCTTGAAGAACAAATGTAGCAGAGAAATGGGAACACCAACAGCTAGAAATTCCTCTCCAAGCCATTCACCATCCTGACTTGGAAATACATCACTGTTCCTTCCCTTGATCAGAATCCTGGAAACCCCTTTCCTAATTACAGTATCCTTACCACCCAAGACCACAGTGATAGGTGAAAGGCAGCAGCTCACCATCACCTTCCCCAGGTCATTCAACGAAAGGAAATATATATAACGCACATGGGCTTTGAATGAATAAAGTGAAAAGAAAATGAGTAACCATCGAGATTAGTTATAGGGCACAGCTGTTAATTCCTTGCCAACTTGATGACCTGTAACAGGACTAGCTGCAATTTATACTGAAAAAAACAGCATCTGTTCCCAACACGTTCAGGTATTAAACTAATAAAAAGGAAAGAACTGCAGATGCTGGAAATCAGAAACAAAATCAGAATTTGCTGGAATAACTCAGCAGGTCTGTTAGCATCTGTGGAGAGAAATCGAGTTAACATTTCCAGTCCAGTGACCCTTCTGCTCCTGAACCTTTGCTCTGAAGCAGCAGCATCGCCGGAAATGAAATGCTAACTCTGCCTTCTCCCCACACATGCTGCCAGTCCTGCTGAATTTCTCCAGCCATTTCTGTTTTTGTTACATTCAGGATAT